AATTATTTTGTATGTCAAACGTGAACTCTTTCAGGCACTTAACAATGGCCTTCTCATTGACCCACATGACCAGAAAGCCACAGCAGATGCTCTCCTGAAACTCGCCACGGACAAAAACACCTGGCTTGAGTGCTGCAAAAATGGCCTAAAAAATATCCACCGGTTATCATGGCCATAACACTGCCGTAACTACCTGTCCCATGTTGAGCACTGTAGAAATCACCACACGTCTTGAGATCATGCCAACTCTTGAAGAACCCATGAGTGAGTCACTAAGGGATGTTGAGGACCTTTGAAATTCTTCGTTGACGTAGAGTTCAAGCCCAATGGGGAGCTTGATGCAAAACCAGACAAAAGGAACTCATTAGGACCCTAACCCAAATGGCTACCTCCAACAGCAACTCCACCGTCAGTTACTATCCAGGAAGAAGGCAGAGGCTATTTATAATCGCCACTGATTGTTATAACAATAATGGACTCTGCACTAAGACGTTATCATCAATCATAAACAATGTGATGAAATCTACGGGCTCAAGATCAGGACAGGCTTTATATTGCTAACAGATTTAAGCTAACTAGAGGCAAAAGAAGCATTGACTAGTCACATAAAATTGGAAGATTTTGACGCATTGGTTTGTAGCAGGGAAAGTGAAATGTATTACACATGGAAGGATTTGGTAGCTGATGCAAACTACGAAGCCCATGTTGAGTGTCGTTGGCCTGGTGGGAATGTGACATCAATGGTGATGAGGCTTGCTAGGATAGCAGATGAGGCTGAGGATGACATTTTGGAATACATGAGTGCGTGTAGCTCTCGATGCTACTCATACAGAGTCAAACTAGGAGGGAAGGTAAGATTCTTCTAAACCAATCTAAGGAGTTAGATCGCAAACAGTAACCACAAAGAATAATGCCTTAGGTACTACATTCTCTGATGTAAACTATAACTATGTGGCAAGCTCAAAGGATTGATTACCTTCGCCAGAGGTTCCGGTTGAGAAGCTTATGATGCAACCTTGTATACGCACATGCCACAACAAGGTTGAATGTAGTACCTTTAATTGCGTCTAGGGTCCAGGCACCAAGGTAAAAACGTTTTTCCTACTGTAATGTATTAGGTAAGATGGGTGTGTTCCATAATCAACATACAGCCTAAGAAATAATAATCATTCTTCATGCCTGCACATGTTGTGCAGGTGTCTATCAGTAAGGTGGGGCATTGACCTTTCCAAGATGATTGTGTTTGTAGGGGAAAGAGGAGATACAGACTATAAAGACTTGCTAGTTGGTATCCACAAAACTGTAATCCTAAAAGGTTCTGTGGAATATGCCAGCAAAACGCTACTTCACAGTGAAGACAGTTTCAAGAGGGAAGACGTAGTCCCCCAAGATACCCATAGCATAGCCTTACCTGAAGGGTATGACAACCCTGATATCTCCACAACCTTGGAGACTCTTGAGATCATTTAATTTCTTGTTATGACTTCTCCTGTGATCGTTTCAATTTCTTTTTATAGGCAACACAAAAGCATGTATATAATTGTGTAATATACAAAAAAATCATAAATAATTTTCTGTATACTACTACTTATTTTTTATTGACACAATCAAATAAGTTGAGATATCATAAGCATAGATGGCACCTTTCTGCAATAGAACTTTCACCAAAAAAATCAGAATGCACTCAGAATTCCTTCATGCGGGTATTGACATAAGTAGGGGGTATTGAGTTGAGTGGGGGATACGGTCATGGGCGGATGCATGTGGAAAAACCATCCAACCCATTTTTTGACACAACGAATCACAAATATATGAATTCATATTGATTCAAACAGCAATCGCACAGCATTCAATGTTTGTATAGTAAACATCTGTATCACTTGTTTGCACATATACCTTCCCAAGGACCTACTTGATGAAACATATTTTTACAAGTCACCGTGGAGTTCTTCTTTTCCGGCCTCTGAACGTATCAACAGTTGTGCAGTTGTCATGTGTTCTATTTTGAACCAAGATCAACTTCTACCTCGTATTCCTTACCACATGTACATTTAAGGATATGGGAAATTCCCTGTAAAAGCAGATGCAACCATGAATACGATGGGAGCTTTTAAAAAGAAAAAAATAATGTGCAACGTCGTTGTATTGATGATTTATTAAATCAAATTGTAGAAAACAAAAGAAAAAATTGCACTTTCTTATAACATTAGGAAATTCCATGTACCTTGGCTACGATGATTTCAATTTGTGCAAACTGCACTGGTAGGTCACCATGCTAAATGCATGCTATTTATACCTATCTAATCTGGAAGCTAAGAGGGTCTCTACTTTCTGCACAGCCAACAGTCATTTCATCATCAGATAGAATGTCTAATCAACTGCCCATTTGTTTCTATCTATGTGAAATTGCAAATAGGGAGTTAAAAAAAATATTTACCTTCAGTTTGTCAATTTGCTGATGCAGAGACTGCAAATACTCTGATTCTCCAGCTTTGTCTGACAAAAGGGCTGTAAGCTCTTCTTCCAGGGTCCTCCTATCCATTTCCTTAAGTTGTGACTGTAATCACCCATCCACAACCTCAGAATAATGTGTACACATTTGCCCTAACCCTAAGAGAGAACATCTTATATTCTAATGGTTTTGAGTTAGAACATTAAATTGTCAACAATATTTTCCGAAACCCACTTTTTGAAGGTTATTAGAAAATATTATTGCCAGCATGGTGTAAATAACTTCACTACATTTTGGACAGCAAACAGTTCAGGAATGCAGCAATTGAGTTGTGCAATCTTCTGAAGCTGTTTTTGAGATAGAATGCGTAGGATCATTAATAAAGGAATATTTTTTAAGAGGAGATTGTGGGTTTCTTCCAAAACCTTCCCATTCAAAAAATGCCTCATAATGAGCCTTTAAACATGGAAGTTCTTGATAGAGTTATGCCCAGTATTACATACTGCCTCCTCTCAAAGCTTGGATCTTTCCAAAGAAGTCTTGGAGGAAGAAATCAAGGAAACCCTCTTCTCCCTCTTTGATAACAAAGGTCCAGGTTCAGATAGTTTCAACGCTTTCTTTTTCAAAGTCCTTTATAGCCTTAGCTCAGAATGAATCAGAACTTGGGAGAAGAAAGACAAGGCCTTTGGACTTAGAACAAAGGGGAATCGAACTACGAAGTTCAAGCAAGGGTTGAGGGTATGGTGAAAGTTAGATGCAGAAGGTTCTTGATATCGGGTAGGAAGAGTGAAATGCCAATTTCATAGAATTTCAACCTCTGTTGGAAGTGGTCGAGATGGATGAAGAGTGAGGAAATAGACGCACCGGTTACCTTATTGAGAAGTGGAAGTGGCAATCATAAGTAGCAAAAAGAGAAAGTGTCATAGTGAGAATGATAATGGCTATGTAGCCATGGTGACTCAAGTTAAAGTACTATGAATAGCACTATACGGATTGCTGACACTTGTTACTTGACCAAATCACAACAAAAAATAAATACTAGGAGTCACATGGGATTTATCTAACTAAAGCCATGAAAACAAGATGGTATGCTAATTCCTCATCCACAAATCAGCTCTTCCCGTGGGTTATTTTCTGAACGAATAAGGCTTACTTCATCAATTTGATAAAAAAAAATAACCAAGAAAAGGACCAATGTCTAGGTTTGGAAGAAAAGGCCAGAAAAATATATATACTGATCTTTAACTAACCTTAAAACCATTTATCCTACGCCTCACTAGCTCAATGGATTGCTTTGCCTGCAACATAAGAGTCATGAATAAAACTGCAAAGTGAATGATCAGTTGCTCATTGTGATTGGAATAGCAACAAAGCAGCAGGATGACAACTTTATTAAAGTTAACTTCTGCATAGATTCATTCTTTTTTTGTGTTTGGGTGGGTTGGGGGGGCTAGAAGATAGGGGTGTGGAACATTTGCTTAACGATGACAGATCATTCCAGAAAAGCATAAAACACTTATCATTCAAAAGGAAAATGACAAATATTTAATGAATTTTTCATCTGCCATGTATATACAAACTATAAACCATGAAAATGACAGGGTATTAAAAAATGCAACTTCAGTCAAGCTGTAAGTTTTAGGATGAAAAAGTGTTAAATTTACTGTGCCAAATCACTATCTAAAAGAAAGAGGACAAAAAAAAAAAAAAGAATTTAACAAGTTAAGGACCATACTGGAGTTATCAAAGGCGCACGTAGGCGTTCACCTAAGCACTAGGTGAAGCCGGCTTGCCTCAAGTGGTCCAAGAAAAGTCACCTAAGACGAAGTTTAAGCTCAAAAAGCGAGTGCCTCAAGATTAATCTCCAAACAACGAGGCAAGCATGTTTATATATATTTTGTTGCTTTGTTGATTTGTTATGGACCGTTAGATCTACTCAATTGGCCATTTCCACTCAGATGAGGAAGAGGCAGTTTTGGATGAAGAAGAGGGGGCCAATGATGCGTGATATAGATTCAGTAACAATGAAGAAGATAATTTGTTTGGTGATGAGGATGATTTTTAAGTCTTGATGATTGGTGGAAGCATTGATTAAATGTTTAGTTCCTTTAACAGTTTGAATTGTGTGCTTTCAGTTTTCAAATATAAGAATTTGAGATATTATTGGTTTTTGTTTGAATTTGGATGATTATGTTTTTGGTTACATTCGAATATTTAGTATTTAAAAAGTCAGAACTTGAATATTGAATAGTTAGAATGTTAAAAATAAAATATTTGCTTGGTTTTTATTACATTCAACTCATTTCAGTAAAGCTCTCACTTTGCCTCCCACCTAGGCCTTAGGAGACCATAGTCCCCTGGATTGCTTTACACCTTAAATAACACTAGGTCACACATCAAAGGCTTTCAAAAATATCATATTTTAAAGGGGACCAGAGAAAGGGCATAAAACAATCTCTGAGTAAATGAATTCGTACAGACAGTTGTGCTTAGATAATTCAAATGGATATTTAATGTGTCATGCACCTCTAGTAGTTGCACTGTACAAATTAACCGTAATAACTCAAGGATTCTTGTTGTTTTACACAAAATCTACAAGATATATTTAATCTTCTGAGAATACAAGAAACAGTATCAATGTTCACTGAAGTTACAGAATCAGATTTGCATATGTGAACCTTGCTATTATCCGAAACAAGTTTGGATTTCAGTTGTGTCACCAAGTCAAATTTAGCATGAGCAGCATCCAAATTTTTCATTACTTCCTTTTCATCGTTATCCTGAAATGCCAAGCATCAATCAAACATGCAAGTCCATATGGCTAAATGAGATCATGCCACGATGACATACCAGATTGTCTGCATTGAGACAGTTCTCGGAGCCACAGTTCCCTGAAAATGGTCAGTCTATCAGGACAGTATAAATAATTTGCCATATAGTATGTTAGATGTAGATTAGCATCAAAGTTTCAGAGTGCCAAATCCCCCAGCTAATGAAATACAGAACACTATGGCCTGCATCTTGTATAAATGATATCCTGTGACATGGACTCATTCTACACTTCCACCGAGGTTAACTCCAGACATACCTTAGTTCTTCCACCTAGTGTGCTATTAATCACGTAATACACATCAGAGAAAAGTACCTGGCCCAGCTCATGTCTGAGTTCAGTAAGCTAGTCAAGCTTCGAAAACTAATGCTAAGCTTCTTTTGTTTTGCATTTTTTTTCTGCTATACTAGTGAAGTGTCAGAGTTTGTCCCACAACAGTACAATAGTGCTAATACCATCAGAGCTTGCACAAGTTAGAAATCATGGCGATGGAAGTCCATGCTTCTTCCTTAAACCAACCAAATATAGTCCAACAGAGTAGTATCTGTAAAGGGATTAAATAATTTGGGCACAAACCCTCAAGTACTCTATTGGGAAACTTTAGATTCAATATCCCTTCATCATTTATAAAAAATAGTCATTCGTGGAAACTTGTTTCCTGAAAAGCACCAGTGCTGTCAGTTATAAAACTAAATGCACTGTATAGTTGTGACAGGTAGTTACCTTACTACAAAAGGGCATATGGCACATCTCTAATAATATTTTCCTCTTAAATAGTTCAGGTACGGTTTTCCTACGGTTTAGATAAATGATCATCATGCTTCTTATGGCAATAGAAAGTGCCAATCTGAAAGCATGAAGCTAACAAATCAGAAAAAGTCTTCCATGGAAAACATTGAACTAGAAGAAAATTTCTTACCATCAACCCCTAATAAAAAGAAGTCTAGCGATCATACCTCGAGAATCGCCAATTTTCTCGCCGGTTGTGTGCTTGACCTACAAAGATAAATTAATTGAGAATTTGAATTAAATTTAGGCTGGACATGAAACAACAGGCTTGTAACAAAATGTTTGTCTCCTTGCACACTGTTAGCTGTCAATGGTTCAAAAAATATAGTTCTGGGTGGTATTAAAAATATTAATCAGCCCTCCATTTGAAATTAAGAATCTCAAAGACGAATGCACATAGACAATCTAAAAAGAGCATTCAAATAGTGTGGAACCGTTGAAGTCCTGCCATACAAGTGTCGGCCACAGCCACTCTCGGACAGGGCTAAAAGAGTATTCAAATAGTGTGGAACTTTTAAAGTCCTGCCATACAAGTGTTGGTCACAGCCACTCTCGGACAGGGCGAAAATAGTAGCGGACACATGTTCAGAGAAGTGTCGTGTTCGACACATATCTAACATGTCATGAAATCTACTGCACTAAATATCAAATGATGAATTACCGAGCCATGTTGTCCAACCTTTGAGGTAAGTTTGTACAAATTGATCCACTCCTACTCAAACCAGTAAAGACCCTATTAACAAATTTGATATTGAATAACACGCATAAATTTACATGGTGCATAGAAGGCATCAAACCTGCTGTTTCTGTAATTTAGTATTAAGATCATCAGCTAACTTGGCATAGTAGGCACTGTTACAGTGAGCAAAGCATTTCCAGCATCATAAAGTATCCGTTGTAGATCCATCTCCGATACATGCTCTTTCACTTACCTTTTCTCTGACAGTTTGGTTGACAAGTTGACTCTTTCTTGTTGAATAAGCTCCAATGTCTGTTAAGTCATAGGAGTTTAGTACAACATCAAAAGGTAGCAACCTGTCAGTTGAACAAGCTTGTGGACAGTTTAGATGTTTACTTAGAAATACCAAAGTTGCAATGCATATGATAGTACGAAATTCCGTTCTAGCCTTAAGATGTAGTATAAGATTGTAAAAGATGGTAATAATCTTGTTGCAGACTTCACAACTCCCAATTGAAGACAGCAATAACAATCCTTGGATTCCGTGGGAAAGACCATTAATACCCTTGCTTAAACCATGTTCCTTTAGATTCTCATCTCTCCTAACATTCAAATGCCATATGAGACACGTTCTTTTTCTGCAAAAAGAAAACTGGGGTATGCAAATCAAGAACTTTTAAGATTATCATTGAATCTGAATATGGTTACTCTATCTGCATGTGTATTTGTGGATATTGTGGTTTGGTAATATAAAGTAATGTCGTTCTGCGTGGTGGCAAGAAGCACTGAAGCACTATTCACCTTGTTCTTCCTCATATCATTACATAAAAGACTGAAAGGAGTCGGCAGCACTCCCACATTGAATCTTCTCTTTCTCTCTCTCTCTCTTCCCCTTTTCTTATGACCCTTTTTACTCCACAAGGCATTATCAAATCATCAATAAGCACCAAGAAGAAAACAAAACAAAAAGGGCAGTACAGTGAACGAGACTCCCGCCACAATGGGGTCTGAGAATGGCCCACAATAGTTGCTAATGCATGCCACAATCATGGCTGACATAAGACTGTACAAAGAGGCATTTATTTTACAATTCGTTTCACAGCTCAGTTAGGAGTGCTTAATGTCCTCCCAGTGTTGGTTTCAAGAATTTAATTCATCCTCAAAGCTTAAACCTCATTTTTCTAGAGTACCAACTATTTGAACTGTTCTATGATAAATTGAGGATAATTTGAGTCTCATCTACAGTAGCCTGCACCTGGATCCCTGAAACGCTTGGTGATCTCAAAAACATGTATGCAGATAAGCATGTGCATTAAGTAGGTGATACAAACGGATCGTTGACCTTAAGAGTTGAGACAATCTGGATAAAATCTCAACCAAAATTTGAGGTTCTAAGGTACAAGGTGCATTTCAAGGAGAACGATAACAAGGGTTCACAGAAAGATTAACATGCAGAGGATAGGCAAGTAAATTATAAATCACTTGGACTCCCATATATTTTAGTGTATACTAAAAGATGCTAAGCCGACTGACAAATTAGATCGACAAAGAAGACATATTAGAGTCATTTTTTATAGTTAAGACATTACAAAACACTACGGTTGTAATAGGGGTATTTCAACATTTCATTCAACAACCTCGATGGCCAATTGGGAAGCTATTATTAGATATTTAGATATACACGGAAACACCTTAGGGATATTAAGAGTTTAAATAATTTTACATCCAGATCACAAGGGTAATAACCAAGACAGAATATGTGCCTCAAGAAACAGCATTTTTTTAGTTCATAACCAGGTTTTTTTAAAGCAAAAGGCGGAGTGTTGTAGCTCAGTCAAGAGGAAGAATACAGAGCCATCAAACATTCAAGATGTGAGAGGATGCAAACAAAACCTGTTCATGCACATCCTTAGTTACTAACAAGAATGAATACGGACACATGATACAAATACGACATGACATGGATACATAGACATGACATTTCTCAAAAAAGTGGGACATGAACACGTTGAGACACGCTACATATAATTGTGTGTTTTATATAAAATTATATAATTTGTCGCAAACACGGCGATAATGATATACTATTCATAAAAAATTTAATACTTTATGATAAGTAAATATTATGCTTAGTCATCCAATGTAAAATTTTAAACTAAAGCATTACAATAACCAAATAATCATAAATTGTTTTGTAGACTACGTGTACCCAACATATATAAGTTAAATAATTACTTTTTATTTTCTCAATCCCTCTTGTTTAAAATTCTTATGCATCTTTTGTCTTCACTATTATATTTTGAGTACAACTTTAACATATCTAATCTTGGTAATTATATATTTTCTCATAGTAGAAAATATTTATTAGTCATATTTTTCACATATCAACACATGGTTATTGTCTAATAGTAAACACAGCCTAAAGAAAAGTCAAATATGGTGTCCGAAGAGTGTCGACGCCCGACACCTATCCGACATGGATATGTCACCTTCTTCAAAGTGTTTGTACTTCATAACTCAGCTATAACTAGATATTGGACATGCTCTAGGGTCTGAAAAAAGGACAAAGAATATTCTTCTTTTTGCTTCCCTAAATAATGAGGAAAGAAGACAGGATCTAAGGTCAATTTTAGTGAGTGACTTGGTATTCATTGAATGTATTAAAGCTCTCACTTCAACTCTAGAATGTGTTTATGATGGATTTATGCAAGTTCTTTCTCTAAAATACTTAACAAGGTAAGCATATGAGATACTTATAGCCACCATTGAACTAGAGCAGTAAGAACGACATTGGGGCATTTTTCACAATCTTGTTTTCTTTTTCTAATCAATAGTACTAGGACCTGCATAATAAATGTAAAAAGGCAGAGATTTTTTGTACCACAAAAACAAATAGCAAGACAACTTCGAATTCATGAGCACAAATGACTTCCTAGTTTCATGCCTTTGTGGAGAGGAAGTAAGCACATAAGCTAGTTCAGCACATATATCCTTTGTGTAAGTTATCATAATTGAGATTCAGCTTTTTGACCTATTAATTCACCATATCGGCATATCATTTCCTATAACACATCAGTGAAGATGTACCATACATATTGCCAGAAATTATAATACCTACACTTGCAACACATATGCATTATAAACATAAAAAGAGTATCAAAAAGATATATTTACCAGAGAGATAATGAATAATTTACATGAACGTGATAAATTGTGGCCTTAATGAGATCAAACTGAAAGCTTATATTTGATAATTCACCGTAGATGCGCCGAAAAAAGATAAATGACATAATTTGATAGAATTGTTTGCCAAATTCGAGTTCTATTCTATCTGAAGTTGAATTCTTCCAAAGTTTCAAAAGTATTTCCACCGTGTCTCACTGAACAGTCACAGGAAATTCACCTGGCAAAGTGTGGATGAATCAGATTCCAAAGTAGAAATTTTTCCTTGATTTCCCAGAATCTGGGTACAGATCTGCCCCTTTTCCTTAATCCTCTGATCAATATCCTCTATTAGTTGTTTTGCTTCAGATTTTGCTGCATTGACAAGGAAACAGCCCAGGAAATACTAATAGAAAAATTGCAATGCATTCCTCAGATTCAAAAAAATATGATGCAAAAAAATTTATTTCTTTATTTATGCAAAAGTTATTCGAAAAGGAATCAACTGAAGAATAGTTTGCAATCAATGGCTATACATGCAAGCAGAATGATGTTGTATAATTTGAAATTCGGACATGCAAAAGGCCGGAAGTTAAGCAGAAGTCAATTCATGTCCCACCAAACTCTACTAAGATTATCCGCATAACACATAATTCCACCTCATTCAGCTTAATACAAGAAACAGAAAATATAAGGAAACTGAGAATCTAAACCATTATGAATTGTATAAACCATTTACCCCTCGTTCCAACGTAAGAATTGCCATCAATGGATTGTTATTTTGTCAGGAATGTATTTCTTCATTACTTTAGTTCGTTTATTTCATTAATTAGCTTTTATGTGTTTATTTATTACTATTATATACTATATTCACCAGAAAATACAGAAAAACATTATTTAGAATAAAATCTGTGAAATAGACACATGCACTGACATGATTATAATCAGCACACAAACAGAGAGAAGAAGTAGTAGGAACCTAATTGGAGGTCTTTCTCGATATTCTGAATGATAGTAATCTGCATTTGCTCTTCAACTGAGATCTTCGCCGCTTGATCCTCCACATCTGATAATTCATTTGTATATGCATCTTTCACATATAAACAAACCGATAGAAGTGCACGCTTTTACATATACACAAATTAATCAACCAAATGAGTTTAATTTTTTTTGTTTTTGCTAAGATGAATTTAATTGAATCAGCCGTATTATCATTCATTAACTGGGAAAAAAAACTCCAAAGCCGGACAACAAACGCTCAAACCCCAATCATCGTCATTTTACGACAGAGAGAAAGAGAGAGGTAACCGTTCATTTGAGATCGCAATGTCTTCATGTACTCTAAATACTCTTCCATCTTTTCTGCCTTACGGAACACACACCACGGAGAGGGTGGGAGAGAGAATCAAATCGTGCTTTAGATATAGAGAGAAAGAGAGAGAGAGAGAGAGAGAGAGAGAGAGAGTGGTTGACTATTCGAACGTACTTACAGTCACCGTATAAGCGAACGAGATCGAGTGAGATGGTAATGTGCGAGATTTGTAAACCTGTGCAATGGAAAAGTGCGAAGTATGAATGGCTGGAAAAGAGAAATGTTTGGGTGATAATGAGGTGAAGTTGCACCTCAATGCAAAATGCTTTACAATATTACCAAATCAGCGAAACAAGCGACGATGTGACGTGGCACCATCAAGCAGAGAAGGCAAATCATGTAAACAATGCGTATGCGATAATCCGTTGACACCATGTTGCAAATGCGAACACATGGGTAATATAATTGTACCATGTTGCAAATGCGAACACATAGGTAATATAATTGTAATAGAGATAACCCGTGCCTGAAGGCACAGTACAACGTAAACCAGTCGATTAATTTGAAAAAAAAAATTGTTAAATATGGTTTAATTAAAAAAATTAAAATTAATATAGTTTCCAAATGTTTTTTGGGAACTATTTCGACATAACTTGCTCTAAAAATAGGAACTTAATAAAATTTCAACCTGTATACAAAAGTAAAAAACAAACAAAACAATCCCCTAAAATCATCGATCAATACCCTACAACCAAAACAACCAACAATTTCACATCAAGACAAACATATCCCCATAAACATAAAATTAGTTTACCATCCTAAACACAATAAATAAAAACCCACACAAATCCAGTTAAGTTGACATAGATTATTATAGATATCATTTAATTAATAAAAGTTGATATAGATTATTCTTTATATCATTTAATTAAAGGAAGTTGATATAGATTTAATTAAACCTAATAATAACTTGATATTTTTTCAAAATTTTGACATAATTTCCTTTGAAAATAGGAGTCCATGAAAATATCAACCTGTATACCGAACTGAAAAACAAACGAAACATTCCAAAAAGTTGATATAGATTATTCTTGATATCATTTAATTAAAGCCCAATGCCTGAAGATACGATGTAAAAAAAAAGTCAATTACATTTAAATAAACATCAGCACCTACGGTTTCAATATAAAATCATCTGTTCTGTAACACTACTATCACCAACATATTACATCTAGTCAAAACTGGTTTGTCCCCACTACAAATTCTCATACTCTCTGTTCATATTTCATTCCATCCAAGCATCATGCGTATCCACTGCCAAAAAAAATTTCATTAAAAATCAAACAAATCAATAGCTTTTGAGAGATTTTCTTGAAAAAGTATTTAAAATTCCACCAAATTCTCCATAATTCCCTCGAATTAATTTAAAAAGATACTCCAAAGTAATCAAAATAATTCCCTTAAATACAAAATTGAAAAATGAAATATCAACTAACCTACCTGATAATTAGGCATATTAGAGCATGAAAAAAAAATATCAACTACCCACCTTCAAAAAAAGCATGAAAAGATAACAAATGCAGTATGAAAAATGCCTCTAGCCATCTTCCTAAATAGCAAGAATTTTCGAACAAATTGGCATCTGTCCACAAAACCCCTATAAAACAACAAAATAGTTTCAGCAAAGAAGGTGGATTGAATATCTAGAAGACTAAGATTTCACACTTAACTACCATTTGAGGAAGGCTAATATAGTAGCAGATACACTTAGCAGAAAGTCTCGGGGTGAAATCAATGTTCTTGTTGTTCATAGGTCGAAGATGATTGATGCTTTGGAGGAGTTTGATCTATTAGTGGATAAAGAGGAGGATCAACCATGCTTATTTAATCTTGTACCTCAACCAATTCTCCGACAATGGATTGTGGAGTTACAACGATTAGATACCGAGTTGGGAGCTATCCGAGGTAGATTGGAGAGGAATGAGATGATTGAGAACTGGTCAATACATAATGATGAGTTACAATTTCGTGGAAGACTAAGTGTACCAAACAATGACCAAGTAAGGGAAGAAGTGTTGGGTGAGTGTCATCATTCAAATTTTTTCATACATTTGGGTAGTACCAAGATCTATAGGGACATGAAGCGTCAACATTGGTGGAAAGGGATGAAAAAAGAGGTGACTAAGTACGTTGCAAAGTGCGCGGTGTGTCAACAAGTGATGGTGGAGCATCAAAAATCCGGAGGATTACTACAGTCCTTACCTATCCTAGAGTGGAAGTTAGATCACATCCCCATGGATTTCATGTCTGGTTTCCCATAAAAGTCACGAGGGCATAGTGTCGTATGGGTCATTGTAGATAGACTCACCAAGTTCACTCATTTCTTGAGTATGAAGACCACTAACTCCTTAGAGATCTTGAGAAAGTTTTATATCCGTGAGATTGTTAGATTACATGGAGTTCCACTCTCAATCGTGTCGGATCGTGATTCTTGGTTTGTGGCATAATTCTAGCAAAGTCTACAATGCGCTATGGGGACAGAGTTACACTTTAGCACCGCCTTTTATCCTAAAATGGATGGCCAATCCGAAAGGGTGATACAGATTTTGGAGGACATGTTACGTGCTTGTGTGTTGGACTTCAAGGCAAGTTGGAGTGATCATTCGTCGTTGGTGGAATTTGCATATAACAACAGTTTTCAATCTATAATTGGCATGACACCTTATGAGGTATTGTATGGAAGACCATGTAAGTCCCTGACTTGTTGGTTAGAAGCTGGAGAGAGTAGCTTGTTTGGGCCAGAAATTGTTTAGGAGACTATGGAGAAAATTTAACTCATCCGGGATAGACTACGCATGGCACAAAATAGACAAAAAAGCTATGCGGATAGAAGATGAATTCCATTGGAATTCCAAGAGGGGGTCTATGTGTTCCTTAAGGTGTTGCCTAAAAAGGGAGTGTTTAGATTTGACAAGAAGGGAAAATTAGCTCCAAGGTACATCAAACCATTTAAAGTGATCAAAGCGGTGGGCAAAGTGGCGTATCAACTTCGGTTACCAGCTCAGTTGTCAGGGGTACATGATGTGTTTCATGTGTTAATGTTGAGAAAGTGGCAATTGGATACAACGCATGTTGTGGATTTTGGGAATATTGAAGTTCAAGATGGAGCAACATATAAAGAACAACTAGTGGAGATTCTCGACACCATGGAGAAGGTGCTTCGTGATAAAGTCATCCAACTGGTGAAAGTCTTGTGGCAACATCATGGGGTGGAAGAAGCTACTTGGGAACCAGAGCTGGAGATGCGAGATAAGTACCCTCATTTGTTCTCTACTTAAGGTAAGTTTCGAAGATGAAACTTTTTTTAAAGAGGGTGGATTGTAAACCCCCACATTCTTATCTTTATATAGCAACGTAATTATTTTTGAAATGCTAGTGTATGTGATGATGTATGCATGAACTATGTAGATTGCCAGAGTATAAATAAAAATGTTAGACTAGGTAATAGGGTATGTATTGGAATTTAGGAAGGATTTTGGAGTTCAAACACATTTTAGATAAAATTTGGGTAGAAAGGATTTTGGACATTGCTTAGTATTTGGACTATAAATATTTACCCTGATGTCTGTTTGAGCTGAAATTTTTATGATAGATAACAGCTTTCAGGGCTACAACAGTGTATTTCACGAAAATTGTCTAAATTGACCTCTAAATAGGCCAAAACTTCTCTGGAAGTTTCAGCAAAAATAGGAAGTCCGTTTGAACGTGAAAGTACGTTCGAAGGTGAAAGTCCGTTTGAATGATAGTGCATTCTAGTACTTTTGTTTGATGGAAAAACAAAAGTACTAGGAGCAAATGACGTTCGAACATGAGTTACAAAATCTGGGTTTCAGAATCGCACATAGGAGACCTTTTCTTCCACTATAAATACTTAAGGACACATTCATTAGCCCCATTTCAACATTTATAACCCTAGAGAGGCTTAGAGAGGAAAAAATAAGGGGAAAAACACAGATCAAGAGGGATTTGCACATTGAAGAGGATCAAAACTTCTAGTTTTTCAAGAGCACCAAGGAAGAAGAAAGGTAGGGGTTTCTTCCTATTCTCTTCCATTGAGGTTAAGGTTTATATATATGCATGTTTTGACTCTAAATCCTATTTATATGTTAGAAAATCCTTGATTCTTGATATTCTTGCAAATATTTCCATGTTTTAAACAAAACTATAGTTAGATAGCCATGAAATCTCTTTTTCTTATATTAAAACCCTAGTTTTCGAGGAAAATAGATTTTTCTCTTGATTTTTTCTTTGTTCTTGATTTCAAAACTCTAGTGCTTGGTATTGAACAATAAAATACTATTTTTGATGATCTCTTACATATTTTCTTAAATTGTTCTATTGGAATAATACATGTGAAATTTAGGGATTTTGGATGTTACTTGGAATTGGAGAAATTGGTTGGGTATTGTATCTCTTATGGATGTTTGAATGACCATGGGTGGCCGTTGACCAGGTATCATAGAGTGGGTAGATGCGTTTCTTAATCCGTGAGGGTTTGAATTTATCTTACCACTCATAGTAGGGTTGGTGCCTTGCGAGGACCAAACCACTACTCGCTCACGGGTATCGAGGTTAAGGGTTAGTATACTATTCTTGGGTTGGATTTGTCACTGTCAATGTGTTGGTATACGCCCTTCCTAAAGTTAGACATCCTTGCGAGGATTGGGTGTGTGTGTGTGTGTGTAGGCCAGGATATTCTCAATGTGTTTATTCATGCGATGTCATACATCATACCTGAGATACATTGTGGGCTATTGTTTATTATGCAAATGGTTGGTTATGGTGGAATTGGTTTGTTGTAAAATTGGTTATTGTGAAAATGGTAACTTGTTGGAAATTGTTATTTTTGGGAATTGGTTTTACGTTTTCATTTAATTAATGATATTGTGTAAACTTGAGATCCATTGAAATGTCCTTGTTTTCCTTCAAAATCTATACATGATATTTGTAAAATGAAACCAACCGTTTTATATGCTTTTGAAATCTTGTTTGAGTTTAGGAGGATTTTCCTATAGAGCTTAGTGCTCACCCCTTACAAATAATATCTTTTTCAAATTATGGTCTAGAGGAGGAGCTCGAAGTTGATGAGCCGATACATTGGGAAGCTCTAATAGATGGGAACGTGGATCTAGAGGTGAACGTTTAGAGCTATATTCTCTTATGTTCTAGACTAGGAAATTCATTCTGAGACAATGTGAAGCCTAATATTTTTTATATTCCGCTACAAGGTAATAGTTGATTTTTGGGATGTAATTGTCATAGTTGGGCATATTGTTTTGGATGATGTTGTATATATTGTGGATGATGAATGAAATTCTCTTTAGTTATGAAGTTCATTTAGTTGCTCTCATCATTTGAATGATTTTAGATAGTAA